CCCTGGGCGGGGGTAGCGGGCGGGAGGGAGCCCCGGAGCGGAGGAGAAGGGGGTTCCAGGGGTTCCTTGCACCGGCGGCAGCCCGGCGCCCCCCGCCCCCCCTTCTCCGGCAGCCCAGCGGCCCCGTAAGGACGTCGCCGCCCGCAGCGAGGCGAACACCGCGCGGCAGCGCCCCCGGCGGCTCGGCGGCGGAACTGCAGGGGGGCGGCCGCCGGAGCCGGTCTCAGCCCCTGCGGGACACCCCCCGCCCAAGCCTTAGCTGTGGGGCAGGGCACGGGGGGCGCCCCTCGCCGTCCCCTGCAGGGTCTGGCTAGACCCCACCCCCCGTTACACCTGGCAGGGGCGGGGAGGCGGCATCTCCTCCTCCCCCCAGCAAACGCGCCCCAGCGAGAGCAGGGCACCCCTGTCCCAGGACCCCTGGCCAGCTGGCGCTGGGCAATGGGGGGGGGGGGTCCCTGCTGTCACCCTCCCCCGGTGCCAGCCACTGAGATCCTCCCGCGCCCATGTCTCAATGCCGACCCCTAGTGGCAGGGGGCAGTTGCTAGTCCCTCAGCCCCAGGCCGGGGGTGGCAGGCTGGATCCTACCCTCCGCCCTGGAAGATTTTTCAGGGTTAGGCAACAGCAGCCCAACACCAGACGAGGGGACTGGGACCGGCCACCTAGCACCCCTCTGCCATTCCTAGGCAAGCCGAGGAGCTGGGCCCCCTAGACTGGAACAGAGGGAGAGTCGGGTGTGCCGGCCAACGTGGGCACAAACTTGGGGGGGAGGCCAGCACAGTGGCCATGTGCTACCACAAGCTTTTCAGGAGCACACGCTGGTGGCTCCAGTCACATCAGTCTTAAACTTCAGGTTAATGCACGAGATTCACTTAAGTGTTTCATACACCTCTAACATCAGCCCTGGACTAGTGCCTTCGGCACTCACTGCCTCCGTTTCCCCATCTGTCCAATGGGCACATTCACTGACCTCACAACGCTGGCGGTGTTAATGAATAGGCCTGACCCTGAAAATGGGTCTTTCACCTGCCAAGCATTGGGAACGTGCTAGTGAAACTCAGCTTGTAGCAGGCGGAGGTTAGAGTGGCGGCCGCAAGGGGAGGAGTGGAAGATAGACCAGTGGCAAAACCAGAGGTGGGCTGGGTTAGTGACGCTCATTAAGCAAGTTACACAGGTGGCCGAATGGAAAGGGGTATGGTACAAAACACAGACATGCACCTGACTCGAAACCAAGGGAAAGACGTTTAGTTAGAGGCACCGTGTTCATTCAACTGATATTTACACAAGTGTTTGAATTCCCTCCTTGTCCGCATGGTTTGGATCATTCAGGAGACACCCTGCCAGGTTTTACTGTCACCAACCCAGCAGCTCTTTAGGATGTTTACTGGAAAGTGGACTCAGAAACCATGATCTACTTGACCAAGAGTGACACCCCCTCCATTTATGAATCTGAATGGACTGTGGCCACCTTTCCACTGGCCACAAACCAAACAAGCCTGAGCCTGCCTGCTATCAAACTCCCCTCACCAGAGCGGAACGAAGAGCTGTGGGACTCTGCTCTCCTCCTGGGAGGATCACCTCTCTTTTCTCCCCCACCCCCACCATCCCTCCTCACTGTCCCTTTGCTCCATTCTCCAACTCACTGCCACCTTCCTCCCCATCCCCCCCCAGTGCTGCCCCTTCCAGGCTTGCTTTACTCCATCCAGCTGCTCACTGCAGGCCCTCGGTCCCTCTTGCTTTTAAGCTCTCCACTCTGTGGGTCTAATCCTACAAAGTGCTGAGCTGTGCCATCAACTCCCATGGTAGTCAACAGGACCGGAGACCACTCAGTACCTGGTAACATCAGGCTTAGACTGCATCTCCCTCCTTCTTTCCACCCAGAATAAACCTTCCCTTCCAAACAGGGTGGGGAGGAAGTCCCCGTTCCAGCCCCTGGCCCGTAGGTAGGAGCGCTGATCATGGCGTTTCAACACCACCAGGCTTTTTAGTCTAGTACTTCCCTCTCCTGGCTCGGTGTGGCAGCAAAATGAGATGGAACAACAGTGAAAGTGGAACCTGTACCCCCCCGAATATCCACAAGCCAATGAATAGCTGGCAACACCTCCCAACCTGAAAGCCCCCCCCCGGAAAAAGTTCATATTTATTACCAAAGAGACTTTAACCAGGAGTCAGCTGCACATCATGGCCTATGTTCTCAGCAGTGACAAGTGATTTGGGGGGCCCCCTCAGTTTTCGATGTGGCCTTCAAGAGGTCTGATTTTAAGCAAGTGCCAAGCAGGCTCCGTTAAGGCTTCTCCAGCTGGGCTCCCAAAATTTAGACCCTGTTAAAATAATTTTAAATTTGGAAAGCACGTTGGGCTCTACTGATGAAAAGTGCCACGTGAGAACTAGGTAGTTTTATTAAATACCCCTTACAGGACGGTGGCCTGAAACTGCCAGCAGTTATAAAACAGTTATCCAGCACTGGTTGTAGGCTGGATGTTTAAGGAATTTAGTGGGTTGTTTTAGGCTGCAATTTTGCAAGCAGCCTTAGGGAAGGTGATGCCCCGCAGTTGGCTGTCTAACTCCTGTAGGGAGACACGGTGGGTGAGGTAATCTCTTATCGGAATTTGGTCCAATAAAAGGAGATTCCCTCACCCACCTTGTCTCTCATATCCTGGGACCAACACAGCTATGACAACACTGCACACTCCTGTAGGTCAAATTGGAAATCCCAACCTCCCTGTACGTCACATGACGTCAGGACCTGCAAGGCACTCCCCGCCCAGGGACTCCTGCCCAGTCTCTCTCACACACAAAGAGGTCTAGCTGGGGTTTGTTGCTCAGGGGACAGGGCGCTGCCCATGGGGCAGTGGTTCCCCAGGTGGATTTTCAGGTGGCAGTTCAGTGACTGTTTGTAGCGGAAGCTCTTCTCGCACTGGGGGCAGCGGTGGAGTCTCTCGCCCGTGTGCACGCGCTGGTGCTTCAGCAGGTGGTGCTTGCGGATGAAGCACTTGTCGCACTGGGCACAGGCGTAGGGCCGCTCCCCGGTGTGGATGCGGAAGTGGTTGGTGAGCTGGGATTTCTCCGTGAAGCGCTTCCCGCACTCCCCGCAGTGGTAGGGCCGCTCCCCCGTGTGGATGCGGAAGTGGCTGGTGAGCTTGGACTTCTCGGTGAAGCTCTTCTGGCAGGTGGGGCACTGGAAGGGGCGCTCGCCCGTGTGCAGCCGCCGGTGATCGACCAGGTAGTACTTCTGGGTGAAGCTCTTCTCGCACTCGGGACACTGGTAGGGCCGCTCGCCCGTGTGCACGCGCTGGTGCTTCAGCAGGTGGTGCTTGCGGATGAAGCGCTTCCCGCACTGAGCACAGGCATAGGGCCGCTCGCCGGTGTGCGTGCGGTAGTGGTTGGTGAGCTTGGACTTCTCCGTGAAGCTCTTCTCGCAGTCGGTGCACTGGTAGGGCCGCTCCCCCGTGTGGATCCGCTGATGCCGGACCAGCTGCGAGGGGTGGGTGAAGTTCTTCCCGCAGTCTGTACAGAGCC